TCAACTTAATCGGAAGAAAATGTACAAATTTGGTTCAAGGATTTTGCTACGGTTTCCTCGTTCGTGGACCAGTTTTAATTGTTCACACGCCACAGAAGAAGAAAATTAACTCAATCTAAATAAAATCTGATCTAAAAATCAAATAGGTATGTATATTTTGTTAGTGGTTACCGTGATTATAGGAAAATCTTAATCGAATGATTTGCGTATCATTGTATTTCCTTTTTCTGATTTTGTCAAAGATGTATATAATCCTGTATGTATCATTCATCATTCTCAATCAATAAAAATATTTACCTTTGTAAAGTCAAACATGGCATCCAGAGCCTCTATTGTCTAAAGACACAAATATCCCCAAAACCCTTGTTTTTTTTTCGTCATCTCCATTTTCCATCGTCGACGTCGCCGCCTACCATGACCACCGAAACTCCCTCCAACTCTGGCTCCATCCCAAGTGATCATGTCACTCCCCACAATCTGCAAGATCCAACCTCTACATTGATCAACGTCAATGTATCCAACGTTTCCAAATTAACGGGAACAAACTACATAACCTGGAGCATTCATATCTATGCTCTCTTGGAAGGTTACAATCTCGAGACATATCTCGACTCCACCAATGCCCCGTCGCCTACTATCATCAGCAACAATGCCATTACTCCGAATCCAGCCTTCGTTCCATGGCATTGTCAAGACCGTCTTGTCTTCTTCGCGCTTCTTGGATCTATCTCTGGTCCGTCACAAGCACTCGTCGCCACCGCCACCTCCTCTGCCGCAGCATGGAAAACACTTGCTGAAACTTACGGAAGATCAAGCTACACGTCAAGCAAATGAAGGAGCAAATGCGCCGACACACCAAGGGATCCAAATCCATTGATGATTATATGCGTTTCTACAAAACAAAGGCTGATGAACTTGCTTTACTTGATAAACCGATGGACCATGAGGATTTAATCGACCTCATTTTTGGAGAATTAGGCGATGAGTATAAATCTGTAAAAGATATTGTACATGCTCGGGACACGACAATCAGCTTTGTGGAGTTGCATGAGAAACTTCTTTCTTGGGTAGCACTCGCAGCCATGGTGGCATTCCCATTTGTTTTCCACTACGGAATTATATATAAGACGAAAACATTCATGCATATATGACGACACAATCACCCACGCTTCTATATATACAAACCATATAACTGATACCGTTAAATCCACCGCTCTAAGTATTGACCCGAATCTGATTGTTTGAATCTCTCCGGCGTAATCTTTATCCAAGGCAGAAATTCCGGTTGGTTTGTGAGATGGAGGCTGCGGCTGCAGGAAGATCCGTGCGGAGGTGCTGCGTCTCGCCGGTGGTCGGCGGGTCTCGATCGCTCCGGTCTCCAGAGCGGCGGTTTCTGAGGCTATCGTCGTCTGGAATCGGGAGCTCGGATCGCGGCGCCGGTAGAGTTTTACGGTTGGGCAGGCAAAGTCACGAGAGATTGAGCTTCCTCCGGCCGATCATGGCGGCTGACGAGGCGACTTCCTCGCCGCCCTCGGATTGCGTCGGTAGTAGCGTTATCTTTTCGTTTTGATTCATTTGCGAATTCGGTTTTCGTTCGTTGTGTTCATGTTTCTGTTGTTAGATAAGTGAAAGGTGGAATCGTTTTGGATCTAGGCTGTCATTCTTCTTTTTGGGACTTCGGGTTTATCGTTTTCGAAATCGAAATGCTGAATCGTATTGGAACTTTATTGCTTGCTTGTGGTTTCAATTATATTGACTTTGTCCATCTGTTTCAATCTCCCTGAAATTCTTCTGGGCAAAGCCACAACGACACTTTCAATTTCTCTGAGAAACTGTCCTCCTTTGAACGGATCAGAAGAAAATATTGGCAAGACTCTCAACAAAACCAGAAGACGATGAGAATCTTGTCGGTTTGATTTGTTCCCATTTCCCAGAAACCCATTATTGATAAAGAATATGGAATATTAGTTCCACAGAGTCTTGTAGAATTTGCACAAGTTTTGGAATTCATCACTTGTTGCCATGAATTATGTTTTTGGATAAAGCTTAGCCATAGGAACTCAACATGAGAAATGCTTAACTAGGTGAACCTCTGCACCAGATGCCAATCAACGGAAGAAAGTCGACGAATATTGTATGGCATGATTGTCCCGTCACCAAGTCCGACAGACAAGACTTACTTCATCAAAAGGGATGTGTCATTTGGATCACTGGCCTTAGTGGTTCAGGTTGGTTCTTGTGGAAACACCTGAATTTTGTCTCTTTGTAGTTTTCTTCTTCACTTCCTTGAATCTGATATACATTTGCATCTCCTCAATCTTTAATCTCAGGAAAGAGCACCCTGGCCTGTGCACTAAGCCGGACTTTGTACAGTAGAGGAAAGCTTACATATATCCTCGATGGTGACAATGTTCGACATGGACTAAATAGCGATCTCAGTTTCGAGGCAGATGATCGTGTTGAAAACATACGGAGAGTAGGCGAGTTCCATTACTGTATATTGCATACATCTTCTGCAATCCTTCTTGTTTTTTTCTTTTTTGCTGAGTGAAAATTTTTGGGACTGTTGAATTCACAGGAGAGGTGGCCAAGCTGTTTGCAGAAGCTGGTGTAATTTGTATTGCCTGCCTGATTTCGCCTTACAGGAGGGATCGAGATGCTTGCCGTTCTTTGCTTCCAAAAGGAGATTTCATCGAGGTTTTATGGATTGATCTTTTCTCTCGATTGTCACACAACATCGAAAATCTCACCCAAAAGGTGTGAAATTTCTGTTTGGTTTTTTTCTTGATAGGTATTCATGGATGTGCCCCTCCATGTTTGTGAAGCAAGAGACCCAAAAGGTCTATACAAGCGTGCTCGCGCTGGAAAAATTAAAGGTACCCTCTTTTTCTCGAGTTTCATTGCCCGAAAGTTGAAGGCTTTTGACAATGAATCTTCAGTCCTTCATGCTTGAGCGAGTTGACTACGTGACTTCACTCCCCAAGATTTTGAATTTCAGGTTTCACGGGGATAGATGATCCGTATGAACCGCCATTGAAATGCGAGGTCTGTCTGTACATTTTGATGATTTCTCTTTGTGATCCTCTCAAACTTTAGATCTCACCATTTTCAGATTACCAATGAATTCTGCAGATTATATTACAACACAACGGGGACAAGGCTTCTTCTCTGTGTGAAATGGCTGAGACTGTAGTGTCCTACTTGGACCATAATGGCTACCTCATCGCCTAAACCAAATTCCTCAACTTTCTAAGTTTCCACCCATCAATGGCTCCATTTCCAGTAACCCATTTGCACCCAGAGAAAAAAAAAAGATTCAGTGGAAATACACTTGCTTCACTGGCCACACTCTCTATTACATTATTATTACATCACTTAGATTCAGTGTCTGATTTCTAGTGTATATTATCAAATCCCCTGTACCGAGATTTTCAGAACACATTGATATCATGTAACGGTGTATTAACAACGCCTAAGTCTACTTCCCAAACGTTCACTGTCCAGAATCAAAAGCGAAACAAACAACAATGAACACAGACAATACATGAACAAGGAGGAAGACATCTACAGAAACAAAAACAAAAAAAAAAACCCATCAACACTTCTTGTCTTGCTGTTCGTTTAAGAAGCCGTCCATCGTGAAGGAAGTCGCCATTTCCTGTGCCAGTATATCGAGACTCTCGACCACATTGGGAACCCGAAATTGAACTCTAACGGCCGATCAGCAGGCCCCCCAACAATCAACGGTAACCACACATATCTCGAGTCCCGTAAATCAGCCGGGTTCCACCTATCTGCCATGAAAATAAACGCTCCCGGTACACCTGGCACCGGTATCACGTACGTGCTTTGAGCAAAGAATGTGGTCAGCCGAAAAATCTTGTTCCCGCCTATACAGGGATTGCCCAATGTCTCCCACGGTCCCATTATGGACTCGGCCGCATGAGCCAGGGCTTCATTAGGGGCCCAGCCGGTGCAGCCGGACGTGATCATGTAATAGGTACCCTGGTGCTTGAACACAACCGGTGCTTCCCTGTGTTGTCCCACCATTATTCTCTTCATAACCGGCTTCACATCGAGGTAATTATCGGTAAGTGGACCGATATGAAGTACACTATTGTCCTCTGAGGAGTATATTAGATATGCAATACGGTCCTCCTCGTCCTTGAATATCGTCATGTCCCTACTGTCGAACCCGTGCGGGCGTTTGCTGTGTAAATAATCAAAGGGTCCTGTCGGATAATCGCTGATGGCTACGCCGACGGAAGCTTTGGTGTAGTTTGCATCATCAATGTGCATCCACATGACATACTTCCCTGTCTTTTCGTTGTATATCACTTTCGGTCGTTCTAGGACATTGGATTTGTGTAGATCATGTGTCTCGTTTGTTTCTTCAGCCGATAGAACGATGCCCTCGTTTTTCCATGACCATAAGTCTTTCGAAGAGTAGCATCCTACCCCTATGATGTCAACCTGAAAGTAAAAAAAATCATCAACATTTACCCGAATGAATGATCTGGAAAACGCGAGTTAAATCATAGAACAAACATTTTCATCCTAAGGTGAAAAAAGCCTTAGAGAAACAAGCTAACGACACGAGCTACTTACCCGAGCAGGTCCTTTTTTGTGAGCATGATAGGTCGGTCCATCTTTATATTCTCCATACCAGTAGTAGGTTTTAGATCTCTCATCATACAGAATCCCTCCACCATGGGCTTGAATAGGGGCTCCTTCGGTATCCAGCCAAATTTTCCCTGGGAAGTAATAGAAGGTATCGTTCCCCATATCCTTGGTGGGGTCAATGGCGGTTTTCATGTCGGGAAAGAAAACATGACGGATCTGGGAGTTTTCGTCGAGGAACTCTTCTACCAAAGTGGTTGGACGTTTTGGTTTCCGTTTAATTGCACGTGGAGAACGCTTCCTAGGTGGAGGCATTTGTATATTCTCCTCTTCCACTCGCTCAAGTTCCCGAACAACGGGATGATGATGTATTAGCAACTGAGAAGAAACTTCCCGGTTTATGCTATCTTGTCTGCTATATATCGAGACAAGATGAATCAAGAGGAGGAACCCTAAAACTGTCCACACTACAGCAGACGGTGAACATCGGCTGCCTGCATTATTGCAACGCAAAGATGTTGGTTTCTTGTTGTGTTTGGTCTTCATCCTCATCTGGTTCCTTTCTCTTTCTGGGGTTATCCAAATTTAATCTTCAAGAAGATGCTGTAATAAACAATATGCAACAGACCAGACAAAACATAAGCATCTAACTAGACGCCCTATGCTAAAGAAACAGTTCTACTGCAGAGAGAGAGGAATCTTTAAGAACTCTGATCAATAGACATAAAAATGCAGAGGGACCAGAAATAATCTCAGTTGTTGTAATCACATATATACGAAAACCACTTTCTGAGTGATCATTTTCCTCATCTCATCACAGAGTATGATGCCCTAGGAGTGATCATAATGCATAAAAACATCCATTGAACTGAAAAAAAGCTGGATGGAACTGTTCTTAAATCGTCGATGGGTACAACCCGGATTTCATAAACCGGGAATCTTCAAGGTCGATCACATATTAGGGAATTTCAACATTAATCCATCGGACTAATCCACAACTGATGGAATACATATTTTCATGCCATTTTCGTCGATCAAAGAAGGCGAGCAGCAAAAACATGAGCTCAATTCCTCAAACCAGATCCAACATTGACACCCACAAGGAGGAAATTGAACCTTAAATGCAGCTAAATTCCGGCAAGAAAAAAAAACAACAAACTGTGTGAACAAAAGCGGAAAGATGATAGAGAAACCTCGGAGACTTTACCTGAAAACCGCAGGTGACCGATCGGAGCGGAATTTCCCGACATGTATACGTCAGACTAAAGCTGAAACACCGGTGATTCTCACTAATCCCAGTTCCCCACAAAGCAAATATCTCAAGAAAACACCAAATTTCAGACACTCGTCAGCAGAAGCTCAATCACGGAGAAAAATCGAAGACCCAGAATTAGATTCGAGAGATAGAGAAATGGGTTGGTGACGTCTGGTTCAGACGGATCTGTCGTGGAGAGAAAGAGACAGTCTTGATGATTCCAACGTCTGACCAAAGAGACCGTCTCGCCTGATGAGTTCCCCCTCTGGCTAGGGAATATTACTCAAATAACCCACTTGGGTCGCAGCAATTTCAGTGTACACCACCGAAAAAAAAAAAAAAAATTTGCGACCTTATTACGACTAATATATAACTAATATACAACCTATTACGACTAACAAACTACTCTTATTTTAGTTGTATATTAGTTATATATTAGTCGTAATAAGGTCGCAAAATTTTTTTTTTTTCTGGGTGGTGTACCCTGAAATTGCTGCGACCCAAGTGGGTTATTAGGGTTAAAACCCCCTCTCTGGCTATGGGATTTTCCGTAGGTATTATTAATATAAATAGTTGTGGATATTATTAATAAAGTAATGATGGTTCTGAAGTTAATTTCTTCATTAGTGTTCATTAATTGGTTGCACTTTTTCACTAATCAAAATGTATCCACCAATTTTTATTTTCCTTATTGATTTAAATCTTAAAATTAATTAGTCTTTACACGCCGGGATTTGGGATTCGTTTCAATTTGATTTTATTTAAATTTAATATTTTATAAAAATATATATTCCACGATTCATTCATTTAGATGTTATCCAAATCATTGTGCTATTACCATTAATTTCCATATCGATATAGAGGAAACACCAGTAGTTACTAAATGTATTTTTGGAAACTTCTCCAATTTCGTAATTCATTATTGTAATTTGCAAACGGGGAAAGTCAAATGAAAAGACCAAAGTCTAGCTAGCTGCCAAGTTGTTTTCACGTTAAGTGATGGAGTGCATTGCAAAATTTCATGTTTCAAGGTTGTATTGTATGAATTAATATTTTATTTTTATTTTTATTATTATTATTTCTTTACATATTATAAGGTCTTTTAAATTATTGTCTGATCTGAGTTGTTCTCTTAATCGGGAATTGCATGAGATACTACAGGGGGGGGGGGGGGACCAACACATTCTTCACCTTCTTCTCTTCCCCATTTATCATATTTTTGTCCGACATTTTTATTTCAATAAAACTTTTAAGAATCCGTTCTTTTTTTTTTTATCCTGTCAAAGATTAAACCATTAATTCAGATTCATATATTACGGAATAATATGCAGTAAGAATCAGGACCGTCTCACAAATTTTAGGAGCGCTGTGCATGTTCTAAATCAATAAAAATTACTCCCTTTATTAATATAACCTAAATGCTTTTTTATTACTCACAAATTTTTTAATTTTATTTAAATATTATTATTTATAAATATATAAATTAATACTCCTTCCGTTTCAAAATATTCTAAATCAATAAAAATTACTCACAAATTTTGGAGGCGCTGTGCATGTTTTGGGAACGCTGTGCATAATCTAAAACTACAAATATTTTGAAAAAGAGGGAGTATTAATTTATATATTTATAAATAATAATATTTAAATAAAATTAAAAAATCAAATATTATGGCATTTCTAAAAATATTTAAAAATGATAGAAATATTTTTAATTTAGTATAATATACAACGGACCGCTATATTATATTCTAATTAGTTTTAATAAATACTTTTATTAATATATTTTATAAAAATAATCGGTTTTAATAAATGCTTTTTTATAACGAATATAATATAATCTTGGTTTTAATTTTGAAAATAAATGTTTTAATTTATTTAATTATAATAAAGATAATTAATGATAACAAAAGTTGTTACTACTATTTATAATTAATAATTGCTTTTAATTATTATAGATTATTTATAATTTTTAATTAATAAGAGACCCATAAATTTTGGGCCCTGTTATACCCACCTTGAACGTTTATCAAGGTTTTAATAGACGGCCCTAATAAAATAATGTCCGAGAAGGATCCATCGGAGTATACGTCCTCTAATGGGCTTAAGAAGGCCCATTAATATAAAGCCCATCAAGTACTAGTGGTTTGCACGCGCTTTCTGATGAGAGTGGTTGCGTAATTTACAAATAGGGAGAGAGAAAAAAACAATGGGTACAATGGCACCATGATTTTCGCTCTGTCAACCAAAGACTTGAGCTCCCTTCCGACAACGAATACCACTTCAGATAAGATCCTAACCGTTGATATCATAAATTAGCGGGACCTACTTAATCAACGGCTTAGATTTCGTGGCTTTGACTTAAATTCGCTGGCTATGATTGGGTTTTGATTTGGACAGGAAATCTCATGAGCGAACAGTAGCGAACAACGGGAAGACAAAAAAAAAAAGAAAAAAGAAGCGCAAACAGAGAAGAGAAGCTCCCCTTCCGGCCGTGGAGATCCGAGGAGGAGAATTCTGACAGACCGATCTGCTGTCTCTGTCTGTATTCTCTGATTCATCGATGGGATTGTGGGAAGCTTTTCTCAATTGGCTTCGTAGGTTAGCTCCTTTATCTCCTTCTTCTTCAACCAATTCTTCTCATTGTTTTCTGGGCTCCTCACGTAATTTCGATCTGAAATCTTTGTATTGACATTGGAGTTTCTCATCCCGCTTATGCGGATTCGATATATAGTGGTCACGCAAGGAAAATTGTCGCTTCTGGCTGCATTTAGTGTATATCAATCAATGGTGGTGTTTGATTCTTCTTTCTGGCTGCATTTAGTGGTATATTGGATTGGTTCTTTGGTGGTTTTTAGGAAAGGGTTCCTGCTGCAAGAGGCTATCGAAGTGAAAGGTTTTAGGTTTTCTTTTGCCTCAAGTGTCGTATTAGATTGATTCGGTTAGGAAAATCTGTCGGTGTATGGTCCGCTTGTACTTGTAGGTGTATCCTTGAACCCGAAATGGAGCTCACTCGTTTGGATATGCTATTTTTCAGCCTCTTTTTTAAGCAGGAAATGGAGCTTTCTTTGATAGGACTTCAGAATGCAGGAAAGACATCACTTGTAAACGTTGTCGCTGTAAGTATATATATATATGTGTGTGTGTGTGTATACATTCATTGATGATTCTGATCTGATGTTGTTCCAAAACTCAGTCTCCTCTTGTCTTTTCTTGTTCAGACCGGCGGATACAGTGAAGACATGATCCCTACCGTAAGTTACATTTCTTACAAAGAGCTTGACTTCTTTGAGTCTTTCTGAGTCTGGTCCATTAATGATGCACATTATTATGTTTGCTTGCTTTTGGAATGACACAAAGGGATTGTCATACTTTCAGGTTGGCTTCAACATGAGGAAAGTGACAAAGGGAAACGTTACGATAAAACTATGGGATCTCGGTGGTCAGCCCAGATTCCGCAGCATGTGGGAACGCTACTGCCGTGCAGTTTCTGCAATTGTGTAAGGATCTTAAACTGGGTTCCGGTCATCAAAAGCATTTCTTGTCAAATTCTTTTTTTGGTCCAGTTCAAGACACAGACAAGACTTACTTCCACAACTTTTGGTTATGGTTTGTGGTCTGAACCTCCATTTTCAGATATGTGGTTGATGCTGCTGATTCCGACAACTTAAGCATCTCAAGCAGTGAACTCCATGACTTGTTGAGCAAACCTTCTCTAAGTGGCATCCCTCTCCTTGTCCTCGGGAACAAGATTGACAAGGCTGGATCCCTGTCCAAAGAGGCCTTAACCGAGGAAATGTGAGATACCCTGTTCTGTTTTTTCTTCTTGCTCACTCGAAACAGCACAAGCTACTTTCAGACATGTTCACCAATCTTTCTTTCCAGGGGGTTGAAGTCGATTACAGACAGGGAAGTCTGCTGCTTCATGATCTCGTGCAAGAACTCCACAAACATCGATCAGGTCATTGATTGGCTCGTAAAGCATTCCAAATCTAAAAGCTAGATTGCCCAAGAACGAACTATCTTCTTCTTCTTTTTATTTTTGGGAACACAACGGGTTTTCTTGATCTTCTCTCCCGTGCCGTGTTACCTTCTGATAATGACGGTGGTGGTGGTGGTGGTGGAAGGTTTTTCCGGTGAAACAAGATTCGTCCTTTTTTGTTTTTCTTCTGATTCTTGCATCTCTTCTGTGTCTGGATGCTGTTCTTTTCTGTTTACCATGAGATGGATTGATTCTGCTAAAGCTAATGAAGAGGCCTTTTGGACCTTTGGGGGTCGGAATTGCAATTTTACTAGTTAGACGCAATTTTGTAAAGAACAAAAAGAATGTTGCTAAATAGGAAATAATGAATAAAAAAATCTGAGATTTCGGGAAAAAATATCGACAAAATCTGATGCGAAGGGATAATCAAAGCTGAGGCATACTGTTTATAATTTTCTATTCTCTGACAATGGACGCTTCCCTGGTGCGTCTCTCTCCGACGCCGGTGACGGCGGCGGCTTCACCGAAAGGGCCGCCGGAGTTTGAACCAGTTATGGAGAAGATGAAACAGAGGCTGCTGAAGCACGGTGTCCATCCTACCCCTAAAATCATACGGAATCTCCGGAAGAAAGAGCTTCAGAAATACAACCGCCGAATCAAACGACAATCAGAGTCCGATGCGGCGGGGTCTCCGGTGGTCACGGAGGCGCAGAGACAAGCTTTGGAGGAAGAGACCCATTTCCGAACCCTAAGGCGGGAATACAAGCAATTCACGAGAGCTGCCAAAAAGGGCGGCGGAGCGGGCCAGGTCGACGGCGATGGTGGTGATGGTGGTTTGATTGCGGGGAAGCCATGGGAGGGTATGGAGAGAGCGAGACTGAAGGAGCTCGTGAGTGGTGGTCGGAGAGAAGAGGTCGGTGGCGGGAAGCTGAGGAGGGAGAATCTAGATGAGCTGAAGGAAATGCTGGAGCAGGATCTCCGATGGGTTCTCGAAGATGATATTGAACTGGAAGGGCTTGAGTTGTCGGGAAACGACCGTTGGGGTTTTGATCCTGGAAAACGGTGGGCCAGTGAGGGAGACGCTATCAAAGTTCTTGTTAACAGGTCTGTAAAATCTCTCTTTTCCCATGTTCAAATCACATTCCACGTAAATCCATTGAATTTCAAGGTATAGAAACAATTGGGTTTACGTGGGAATCTGGAATTGTGTCCAATCAATTTCAGGTTGAGTAGTAGGGAGATTACAGAGAAGCACTGGAAGTTTGTGAGAATGATGAAGCAATCAGGACTTCAATTCACGGAGGCTCAGTTGCTTAAGATTGTGGATCGGTTAGGACATAGAAGAAGCTGGAAACAAGCTTCAGCTGTTGTTCATTGGGTATACTCAGACAAGCAGCATAAGCATCTTAAGAGCAGGTAATGTCTCCTGATGATTTTAGCTCTTACTTTCATTGTGTTTCTTTGGAACTGGTTTGGTTTTCGAGGTTGAATCTAAGTTTAAGCTGAACTGTGTCTTAGTACGCTAATAAACATTGTCTTCTGTAGGTTTGTGTACACTAAACTATTGTCTGTTCTTGGGATGGCAAGGAGGCCTGAAGAAGCACTCCAAATTTTCAATAAGATGCTTGTAAGTGTCATCTGATTTAGTGGCATGCATGCCAAGTGGATCCAGATGAACATCTATGCTCTTTCAATACCATTTCCATGGAGTTGTTGGATTAACTCGCATTCTTTAGTCGCTTTAGGGTGATCGCCAGTTATACCCTGATATTGCGGTGTACCATAGTATTGCTGTGACACTTGGACAAGCCGGTCTCTTGAAGGAGCTGCTGAAAGTAATCGAGTGCATGAGGCAGAAACCGACTAAACTAATTAAGAATTCTCACCAGAAGAACTGGGACCCTGTGCTTGAACCAGACCTGGTTGTATACAATGCAGTAAGAGTGCATTTCTTGCTTATGAAACTGGGTTTCATTATATATATATATATATATGAGTCTGGGTGGTGTCTTTGTGCATTTCTTGCTTATGAAACTGGGTTTCATTATATATATATATATATATATGAGTCTGGGTGGTGATTTTTATGACACAAGCCTCGATTTAATTGGTTCTTAGGTTCTAAATGCTTGTGTTCCCTCGCGTCAATGGAAGGGTGTTTCATGGGTATTTGCAGAGTTGAGAAAAGGTGGTCTGCGACCTAATGGAGCTACATACGGACTTGCTATGGAGGTAAGCATTTGAATCATCTGTGGCATGTGAATACTAACATGTTCGGTTAGTAGATTATGTTGGGTTATTTTAAAACCACTGTTCATATAAATGTCCTGATGAGATGCTTATGACAGGTTATGTTGGAGTCAGAAAAGTATGAACTTGTTCATGAATTCTTCAGGAAGATGAAAAGCAGTGGGGAAACTCCAAAAGCAATTACCTATAGAGGTAGCAGTTGGCTCATTGTTTCTCTGTTGTTTAGGGATTTCGGTGTTTGTTGGGTACTGATTCTTGTAGAACTTGATTCTCAGTTCTTGTCCGATCTCTTTGGAGAGAAGGCAAAATCGAGGAAGCTGTTGAAGCAGTCAGAGATATGGAACAAAGGGGAGTTGTAGGAACAGGGTCGGTCTACTACGAATTAGCATGCTGTCTGTGTAATAACGGCCATTGGCGTGATGCAATGCTCGAGGCAAGTTTATTTATAGCGTGTTTTGCTACTCAAACCCTTGAAAGATATTGATTCCAGTATCAACTGATACAGGTGGAAAGAATGAAAAGACTAGAGAACTGTAAGCCACTTGAGATTACCTTTACGGGGCTGATATCAGCTTCCTTGGGCGGTGGCCACATTGATGACTGCATAGCTATATTCTGTTACATGAAAGACCATTGCTGTCCGAACATAGGGACAGTAAACACAATGTTCAGGGTTTATGGCCGGAACGATATGTTTTCAGAAGCTAAAAAGTTGTTCGAAGAGATTAACGGTGGAAAATTCCATGCTTTGGTCCCAGACGAGTATACGTACAGCTTGATGCTTGAAGCTTCTGCTCGGGCGCTCCAATGGGAATACTTTGAGTTTGTATATCAGAAGATGACTCTTTCTGGGTATCAACTGGATCAAACAAAGCATGTGCTACTGCTAATTGAAGCATCCAGAGCCGGGAAGGTAGTAAAACTTACTTGATTGATTCTTTTTTGTTGCAACAGAGTTCTTCAATGGAGCATGAGCTGTGTGTTTTCGGTTGTATTGCAGTGGCGACTACTAGAGCACGCCTTTGATACTCTTCTGGAAGGTGGAGAAATTCCTCATCCAATGTTATTCACTGAGATGCTGTGCCATGCCACGGCTCAAGATGATTACCGGAGAGCCATTGCCCTGATCGATACTGTGGCTCTTGCCCCTTTTCAGATCGATGAAGAACAGTGGACTGACCTTTTTGAGGAGAACAGAGAGTGGATAACGCAGGAGAATCTGGAGAAGCTGTTGGATTGTCTCCATGACTGTGATTATGCAGCAGAACCAACTGTCATAAACCTCTCAAGATCATTGAAGTCCCTTTGTGGGATTTCCTCTTCAAAAATGGTGGATGACATTGAGAGACCGGTTGATGATTTGCTTATTCCAACTACAGATTCTCCATACATCACATCTGTTAATGGCAATGAAAGAAGAGTAGTTGATGTTCTGTCGGACACATCTGACGACGAGCCTTTGGATTTTACGGAGAGTGAGCTCCAGACGTTGGGTCTCGAAGAGCTTGTGGCAGCTGGAACTGATGGTGAGGAAGATGAAGAACATGCTGAAGAATCTGATTCACCACCTGCATATGAAATCCTGAAAGAATGGGAGAATAGCAGAAGAAAAGATGGGATGGTCCAAAATTCTGCCCTTTTGTAGAGTTTGAGGCTGTTTTTTCTGTCTACAGTCTTAATGTGATTCACATATAATCATAAATCTAGGAAAAACAATCGTGAACTGAAAGATTGTGTAACTTCCATTTGTGTTATATTGCCAAAAAGAACCCTACTTTGTACCTGCAAACTTTCAAGCTTTCTTATCTGAAACTTTGGCTGACAATGAAATTCTACTTTGTCCCCTATCAGAACATCCACAAAAGACAGGGTTCAACATAATCCAATAGTTAGGACAGACAAGCTGGGGAATTGACACGGTTACTAACAAAAAAAAAAAGGCCAAGCAGTTTTTACCATACCGGCGATGATATATCGCCAGATTCAAGACTGAAAACTCGAAGATCTGATCTGATCCTCACTATCTGCTACAGTACGTGATAACGCTATATAAGGGCATTTATAAAACGAGCAAAAACCTCGATGGATATAGCTCTGCAATGAAATGGCCATGACTGGCTTTTTTTTACCATATATGATTACGCATCCTATGCTTCAAAGCTTTCATCGCTGCCTTTGCAAAAATCTGAGCAGCTTCGGCTTCGGCTTCTGCTTTCTCTGCCTCTCTTGCTGCCTCTTCAGCCTCAGCAATCGCGAATTCCGCCTCTGCAACTGTTCTTGCAGCTGCTACAGCCGCCTCTTGGGCAGTTATACCCTTTATCTTAAATAGCTCCTCGTCTACTCGGGATTTAATAAGAGAGCTTACACCGTTTTCTTCCACATTTAGTGTATCTTCTTCCTTGTTTCCTTCCAAAAGTAGTTGAGGAGATCTCTGTCTTGTTGTTCCTGTGGTCACTGAATCCGGAGCAATCCTGTAAATGTGTTTCGTCTGAAAAATGTGAACAAAAGCGACAAAATCCAACTAAGTGTTTCCGATGCTGAATGGAAGTTGAGATGCGGTTTCGAAGTTCTGTTCACAGAAGAACCAAAAATGTCTCACCTTAATTAATGTACCAATTGATGTCAAATGCTTTAGTCTTACTGCCACATGCCTTTGCACATTGAGTGGCGTCCTGAAATTATCCTGAAATTTTTACAACAGCCAAATCCTTGATGATAATACTAACTAAATGATGCAATCATCCACTATATGAGGAATGGAAGGGGCATATAGACAGGAATTTTAGAGTACCTCTATATACAGAAAGATTGATGTTCTGTCAGAACCTCGCGGCTCCTTCAGGTTGGCGAGTGCCTCCAAGATGATCTTATCCAAACTACAAGAACAGAAAAAACTCAATGCCGTCTTTTATTGACTTAGACAAAAATAATTCTAGGTGAGATGCATGAAGCTAGAATCATCATATGCATGATACTCTTATAGCACAATCAAACATCGGATAATGCTTATTCACATAATCAGAGCTGAATCCTCAAAAAAGAAGGATGAGACATCACAAGCAGAAAGAGACTAACCTCGTAATTGATCTTTTCGAAGCATCATTTTGTGGTGATTCACCGGAAACTTTTGGAGGAGATGAATTTGTCTTTCCTTCATCATAACTCAGAGGCACAGTGCTAAGAGTTGAAGAGTCAACATCCTGCGTAGGAGTTGGAAGAATTCTTTTAAGCGCGAGTTTAGCTTTCTTCCTCGATCCCCACAATGCAGTGACACTTATATTCCTCCATTTGTCCTGTTACGAAGTTGAAAATGAAGGGGGGAATCAGAAACTAGAAATCATTATTCGAACCAGACATTTCCACAATGTAATGCAAATATCAATAGGGTTCCTGCTTCAAGCTCTATCCTATACCTTGAGATCCACATTTGAGCGAGATTTCAAAACTGAACTAAATTCCGGATCAGAGAGTATAGTCCGCCACTTTCCAGTTCCATACTTAAGCACTCCAGCTTTAAGGGCCGCTTCTTCTTCAGCTGTCCACTTCTGTTTCGGGGCACCCATTAACAGCTATCAATAAGACTCCAGAAACAAAAACTTCGAGTAAGTTGGATCTTTTTCCCTGCGAAAGATAGAACACTGAAAAGACTTAGAATTGTGAAAATGAATGAAGTGAACCAAATGGTCGAATCAGCAAATTAACACATGCCTCCACCATTGGAGATTAACAGCTACAAAATCTTTGGAAGAAAGATCGTAGGTATCGACTTAAACTACGTCCATTGCACAATCTGTTATGATCCAGTCACAGATGTTGTTCTACGAACCTGAATCCTGATCATCTACTTTGATTAGTTAATACTTCAAATCGCGAATGAAAACGCAGAACAACGATAACCGTGAAAACGAATTCGATCCAGAATATAAACGCCATCACGAATTCTGAGTAATCAAACAAATCAGAAGAATGAGAAAAAAAAACTTGTGTTCGGACAAGTTCAATTCAAGATACCACCGACTGATACAAACGATTTCCAGACAATAGAATATCAAATCCGAAGCCTTCATGAACCATTTGCACCGACGACGTAGAAAATCAACAGGAAAAAGAAGGCAAAATCCTGCTAAAGATCAAATCCTAAACAAAATTAGCCGAGACGAGGACAACACCTAACCAAAATCTAACAGTGAGATCGAAGAAAAGCAGGAAAATTTTGACGTCTGAACCCCAATAAACGAAAACCCAGAAATGGGGTAGGAGAAGAAGAAGCATACCTGATCAAGCAGAAGCGAGGGAGAGTTTCCGAGAGAGAAGCTTGACGATGAAGCTGAATTCGCATCTGAACTGTCATGAATCAAATTTGAATCTCAGAATTTCGCTGAATGAACGAAGACGAAGACCAGAGAGTAGAAGAAAGAATATCCATAAAAACGAAAAGCATGCCCACCAAAGAAAGAACAAAAAAAACATGAGCTTTGATTTTCGATTGATCTTCGCAGGACATAGCCAAACAGTTGAGGAAGCTGGATGGACCCCTTCATTTTTCCAATATTACGTATTGCCCCTTCAAATATACCGAATTTCAATTATGTCCCCATATTCTATTTTTTTGACAATATAACAATCTAACTGTGTCCAGTGGTGTAGAGATCAATAATTTTAAAGAAAATAACTTTTATCATACATAATCTTCAATCCATACAATTTTTCGATAATATACTTCATCTTTTAGGTTTAAAAAAATTATTATAAATCAAGTGATGATGCACATAATATATAGATTTAATATATTATTTTGTCATATGTTATGGATTTTGGTGTAGTATTTTGTTGTGTAGAATATATTTCCATAACTTGATTTGAGTTATGTATTAATAGTTTATTGTGAATTTTATATTTTTTACATAAATTACCACTTAATAGTCTATAGTTTATAATTATATTTTATTTTATTTATTTACCTTAAAAAGTACAATAAAAACAAGAGTAAGTTTGAATTATGTAAATTACAAAAAATAGGAATTGTGATGATATAGGAAAATTGGAGGACGATTGAAGAGATCTCGTGAATGTTTGGACTGATATGTAAATTAGAAAACTTTGAAGGTCGATTTGGAATTTCTATGTTCTATTTTTTCGCCCCATTTGCCGTCGTTGTGTTATCGAACCCGTGAAGAGGAACAACCAAACGAAAAACCGGAGCTCAAGTATTTCCCCTTTCGACGACGATGGCGATGCGTACAACTCAGGGGATTAGCCGTCTCGCCGCTGCACTCCGCCGTGTGAGTCGGCCTCTCTCCACCGACGCGGTGGTTGAAGCGGAGGTCAAGCGTGGCGAGATCGGTATGGTCTCAGGGATCCCTCAGGAACACCTTGTTCGCAAGGTAAGCATCCGCTTCCTTCGTTCTTTTCTTTTTATAGTTCATGAATTAGGGTTTCTGCAGATTGATCGGTGGAAAATTCCAAATCCTGATTGGAGATTCGTTTTTGTAGATGAAAAACTGAGCTTTGATTGTTCATTGGGTTTTTCTGTAATGTGTTTGGATTTGACCCAACAGATACGTTTAGTTTATTTGAAGATGGTGAGCTAAAATTTGTATTTCGCTTGAAATTGAATTACAGGTGATTATCTACTCACCTGCTAGAACTGCCTCCCAGCAAGGATCTGGAAAAGTTGGAAAATGGAAGATCAACTTTGTGTCCACCCAAAAGTATGTAATGTCTACTTCAGATTTCCCAAGGCTATAATATTTTTTCCCTTGAGATAATCTTATCGGTAACTTAAACCTTGTTGGGGGGAATATGATAATCAAGATAGTTTTTTGCCTTGTCTATGGAAATCCCATCTCATCATATGCAATTTTCACTTTGCTGGAGCCTGGAGCATCTTTATTGACCCATTTCATGACAACTAGAGCTATATAGTCGTCATTTTTAGCTTGCCTTCTTGATTTTCATGTGAGCATTGTCTTGGTTATCTTGACAAGGTTTGCCTTTGACAATGCGAATTTCTTATGTTGGACAGAATTCATCAAGCGATTGTATTGTATTGGATAAACCCCTGACAGACCATTAGCCTCCTGCTCGAGTTAGTTTTTTTGATGTGTGATATCGTTTGCCGGGGTATTAATATGTTGTAGGTGGGAAAATCCACTAATGGGCTGGACTTCCACAGGGGACCCCTATGCCAATGTTGGTGACTCTGCCCTTTATTTTGATTCCGAGGAAGGGGCAAAGACATTTGCAGACCGACAAGGCTGGGATTATGTGGTAAGTCGAATTTTCTTTGCATTATCATCTCAGCTGGGATTATGTGGTAAGTCGAGTTTTCTTTGCATTATCATCTCAGCTTCTGTCGTCACTCTCACATTCGGTTGTACTTTTAATAGCTCAGACGGCAATCAGTTTATTTTCGGACTTGTGCACCATTTCTGTCAATCCATATTCGACTTCTGCACCTGCCTTTTTCTTTTGAATAGCCCTTGATACAATTCAGAGTTGTTTTGCCACTCTCTTCTAAAAAGTAAAAACACGTATTTTTACTCATCTCAGGTCAAGAAACGCCAGACTCCGATATTGAAGGTTAGTAATCTCCTTGAGATGTTGCCCACCTGCTATTTGAGTTTACATTTTGGATCACTAAATCGTGAATTGTTTAGAAGACTGCCACTGGTTGATGCCACTTGAACATGCCTGACTCATAGGAAGAGCACTGTCCTTTCCCTTAGAGTAGAGATTTCAACTATGGAACTTAGTCTCTAACGAACCAAGTTCATAGGAATCCTTGAAAGGTGTTATGGTTTAAGAAGGGTCACATTAAGGAACTACCCTTTGACATCCTACATATGTATCATCAAAATATATTTATTCCAGACTTAGATGGTTTACGGCAATGGTTTATTCACCCGGCAACGGTTGCAGGTTAAATCATACGCAGACAACTTCAAGTGGAAAGGCCTTCCTCAAACACCAAACTGATATCTCTTCACTTCTGTCTCCCCTGGCTTAAACCTAGTGGGCAAGCAAGCAGCACATGAAAGCTTGTTTCTTTTCGTTATGTTTATCTTCTGCGAGCTAATGTTGAACCATTGTCAAGAGGAGAATCTTTCTATCTCAATAATATGATGATGAAACTCTGGGATTCTTTAGTTTCTGATCTTGTTGGATTCTGATTTATTTTGCTGGAAAATCTCATTGGAAGTCTCAAGAGTGTTAGAAACAGATCAGACATCAGTCTTCACTTTTCTCAGTCGCAGATCCATTGGAAGAGAAGTCTAGTTCGAGCCAGTGATGGACAAGGTAACAAAAGGGGAACCCCATATTCTGAATACAATACAAAATACATATAAACTAGGCACACTAAAAAGTGTTTCTGACACATATAAATAGAATCGTAACAGACAAAACGGTCAACGGCTTCTGCTCCGACAAAGTCAGAAGCAAGCATCCAACAGACAGCAACAGCAGAGCGCAGCCAAGCTTCAAACACGCACACACAAAAAAAACATATCATTGCCAAGAAGAAACTAAAACAGAGTTAAAATGGGCAGAGACAAAAACAAAACAGACCAGCCTTCGAGAAAGCCGACTTCTTGCTTCGGCGGCGGAGCCTGAGAATACTGCGGCGGAGGGTAGCCTTGCACCGGGTACCCCTGCGGCGGAGGGTATCCTTGCATCGGATACCCCGGCGGTGGATATGCCTCTTTCGGTGGGTACCCTTTCAACGTCCGCCGGAAAATCCACCGGAAAAGTTAGTTGAACGAACCGTGAATCGGAAACAATAAAGAACAAAGAACCCCACACAAAAAAAAAATATATATTTACTGACCTTGAGGAGGAGGAGCACCGACAGGAGGCTGTTCTTGGTGATACATCTCTCTCTCTCTCTCTCCAAACCCAAAAAAAATCCCTCTCTCCTTAGCCCTCCGTCTCTTTCTTTATAGCTTAAAGACCTCGGGGGAATAACCTGAAGTTTGTACTAGAAACCTCAGGTTTCCATCCAAGTCACTTTCCATGGAATAATTCGCTTTTTTCTTCGTGTTTTTTTTAGTGCAAGAATCCCTTTCTTTCATTTACGCTTTAATTAACCACTAAGAATGATAATAAAGAAAAAAAACAAATAAGAAACATGTTCTCCTAAGGTCTTTCTGCATCGTATTTCATGACAAAAGATGAAAACCCATGTATTGATTCTTGTCACCATATGACCGATCAAGAAACCCAAAAGTGTCAAAAACCCATGTTTTTTTTTTTGTTCGCCATTTTCTATCCTCGATTCGATATTTCACATACAAATACTATAATATATATCGTTCATAAACTATGAAACCTATGCAGTTTCCAAGATCATCTTTGACTGCTTTATAAAAAACAAATCAAAGATGGCCTTTTCATGATGGGTTTCATAAGTAAATGTGCAAGCCATAAATGGGTTTACAACTTCTATGTGCTCATTGATATCTGTACACATGAAAGCTAACATGATTAAGATATTACAACAATGACACTTCTCTAAAAGACCTAACAATTCAAACCCAGAAAAGAAAAATGAGATTAAAACACTACAAGCTACATTAGTTGTCTCTCTCTCTCCTTTAGTTGAAGTTTGCTCACTGATTGCTTGAGAACCATGGGAGCCACCTCCGGCGCCGGACTGAAGCAGCAGCGCCACTGGAAGAGCCTGTTCTCGGAGTTACCGAAATCCTATCCGCATTGGTCGCGGCCCATTGCCCAAAAGCCGGTGAAGAAACCAGTTCCTTCACCGCTTTTTCCGTGCTCTCCCTCGTGAATTTCTCCCACTCTTCTTTCTTTAATTTCCTCTGCTCGGGTGTTTTATGGAAGGACGACGGGAAACTATCTGAATCAGATGGCGATCTTTCCATCATTCTCCCGGTTCCTGAAAGAGCATGACAAGGAATCTGGTCATAGATACATCTTGCTTGGATAATTTTCAATGAAGAGATATAAAGACCAAGAACCAGCCTCTGGGAGGTGTAGCAAATCGAACATGGTGAGAGCCGGATTGGAGATATTCAGTACCATCCAGAAGAGATTCCCGGATGGGTGGCACATCAGCATTACGAATTCCCTCCCACATTTGTTTTAATAATTTCAACAGTTTCCTGCGCAAAGAATTTCAAAGTTCCGAACTTTCATGCCGAACCACAAGTTCAATCAGGTACTTAAATGGAAGATGCATGGTTCAGCTAAGTAGAGCAAAACGAGTATGGTGGTGAAAGAAAAACATTAACAGAGAGTGGTCGGGGACTAACTTGAACAGGCGTCTCAGGAACTTTAATCTTGTGACCGTCTTTAGCAGTGATGACACGAATATTCCCGATATTAGTGCCCCTCCAGCAAGTATGGGATCGATCGAGCTCTGGAAACAAAAAGTATGACATTGATAAGATGATGTCTTTCAGAGTGTCGGTTCAAATGAAATCGCGTGGTTAGACAGTATAGGAAAAACCTGAAGAATCATGACCGCAGCCAAAATCCGAATGGACCAAGAAACAAAGAGTGATGTGCTAATGTCAATGGAACCGTCTTCTGTCAGAACAAGTTTCCTGACAATCCAAAATCCTAACCATGCTCCAGATAGCGAAAGAAATGCACCCAGGAAAACAGCCAGCTGCAATTAATACCTAAAGGAATTTAGTTTTCTCAAATTGGATATGTATTTCCGCTTGTACTTCTCTTCCAAGACAGAACCCTAAGATACAACATAATGACAACAGCAAAAAATTGACTACATCAAAACTTACATACAGGAGTGTACATATCTTCATTGATACCCATCTCCATGAGCAGAGATTGAATTAACCCGGGAATGTAGCGAAGAAGGAAACCTCCCACCCCAACCTGACCATGTGAGGAGGATCAGTTTCAAAAACGTTAAATAAATGGAGAGAGAAGAAAATAGGAAGGAAAGACAAGTCTTGCTCTTGTAAAATCACCAGGGACGAGTATAAGAATAATGCAAGCGAACTCTTCCTTCCAGTTGGGAGAAGCTTCATCCCCTGCTAACATCATATCGCGTCAGCTGATGGAAATCAGGAAGTGTCCAGTAAGATTAACTTGTCAATAAAACATTAACAAGTGAGTTACCTGAAAAAGGACAACTAATACAACAAGGATGATCCCAACAGCCATGGCACTGCTGTAGTAAAACGATAATGATCGGCTCAGGGTAGAAGCCGAAGCCAGCAACACGATACCCAAGATTAAGAATATGACACGGTACATGAAAAATTCTGCAAATCGGTAATTTAGAGATCAAGAGAAAAAATTAACTAATTGTAGGATCAAAAGAAATAACATAATACCAAGGTGTTATTATAAGCCAAAAAGGATAAGTTACCTTCTTCTGCAGATAAATGCAGAGTCACATTGGATGAGCCAGATACTCGAATATCAAGGATCTTGTGGTCAAAGGGTGACATGATCTGAACCCATGATCCCTTCGAAACTTTGTCCCACTGACCTTGGGGGCACATTCCTACTGCACGTGATGAATTCCTACAATTGTGCACTCTAACATATAACCTTTTCCGAAAATCACTAGTGATGCAGGAAGGATAGATGTCAACCTAAAAAATATTTTTCACCAACGAAAAAGTAGAATATCCCGAAGCCTAGATGTTATCCTCTAGATTGGAGCGGGTGTAGCAGCAATATACAAAGACTCACCTATGGAAGCAAACATCTACACTTGTTCTTCCACCGGTTGAAGCATTATGTGCAACTCTCAGCTTCAGTGAATGCGCATATTTTTCCATGTGTTTAAACCTCTTAAGTCCACGAATATATATCCTCTCGCAGAGCACCGCTTTACCAGGCTTCAGTCCAGGAGAGCCGGTCACTTCTATACTAGGAGTCACTTGCAGTGCGCCAGTTTCACCCACCACTGTAACAGTGGCAGACCAATAGAAATTAGCAAAGACGAAAACTTTAGGGAAGAAGAACATCGGTTCCACTCAAGCGTCCCATAAGAATCATCGAGCTGTTAATTTCCAACTGAAAAATCTAAAGTTTTCCGATTCAACTTCACACTCGTTATCCTAGCTACTTAGAAAGTCACAAAACCATAGGAAAATTCATAATTTGTGAACGAAGAGTTTCATAGCTTTCAATGTTGCCAGATAAATGGGTAAAACCCACGCGAGGGAAAAGAAACTATAAAAAAAAAATTCGAGTAACTGCCTACAAGAACAAGTAGAAATAATACACAAAATGAGCAAATTAAGCAGTGAAAATTAAAAAAAAAATGCCACTGTTCCACTCCATAATCAACAAACCCAGAAAAAAAAACCCTAGATTCCCAACATCGCGACCTATGCATTCAAACCCACAACCAACAAGGAGAAAGTAACCATACCAAAGACCAGTTCATCGGAGGAGACAATAGAAGAGCATGCCCAGAGGCTTAGCAATAGAAACCCGACAACGAAACCGAGGCTCCGAGCCATAATTGAGTATCCCATCGGCTTCTGGTGAGTGGTGATTGAATCGAGTAACTGCCTACAAGAACAAGTAGAAATAATACACAAAATGAGCAAATTAAGCAGTGAAAATTTAAAAAAAAAATGCCAGTGTTCCACTCCATAATCAACAAACCCAGAAAAAAAAAACCCTAGATTCCCAACATCGCGACCTATGCATTCAAACCCACAACCAACAAGGAGAAAGTAACCATACCAAAGACCAGTTCATCGGAGGAGACAATAGAAGAGCATGCCCAGAGGCTTAGCAATAGACAAACGACAACGAAACCGAGGCTCCGAGCCATAATTGAGTATCCCATCGGCTTCTGGTGATTGAAGGAGACGAGGAAAAGAAAGGCGCGGATTTGAATTGAAGCCCGTTATTAAAGTAAAAAAAAAAACAAGGGTATTTATGGTATTTAAGGATGAGTTTTATTGTATTGTGGGCCTCGTAATGGGCCAAATATAGCCCAATTAGTCTTAATTAAAGCCCTATTATTTTAGGTCCGTTGGATTTAATTTTCTCATTAGTGCTAAAAGGGAGGAACCATGTCTTCTAAAATTCGAAAATATTACCTTATGTAATAATATTATCGTGATTTTTTTGAAAATTTTGCATATATACAATGAGATAAACAACAAAAAAAAATAATAATAATATTTAAACATGTAATATATACACATACTGAAATCATATTTCTTATAACAACAAAAGCAGTATGCAGTGACTACATATCCGAGTGTATATTTCTTTCCGAATTAAAATGGTTGGGAAAGAGAATGCAAATTCTAATAACATGCCTTATTTTCTATCGTAGGATTAGTTTGGGCATCGCCCCGATATACCGGCTTAGAAAAAAAGGAGGATGACTAATCAGACGGATTGTCTATTTATTAAAATACATTGTTTGAAGTCTTCTTCTCCAAACTCACAAGGCTTCTCCTCATCGATCCGTCCCATCGCTACATTACTATAATTCCTTCGCAGATCCAACGGCGAAGGTCGTCTCATCTTAACAGATGTATATCCGCCACGTGTACGGGCGGATGCAGCCCGGACGAGTTCACGGTATTCTTCCCCCGCACCGTCGCCACCATGGTGTCTCGTCGTCATTCCCAACGTGTTAACGGTGAAGCTACGCGGCAGAGCCGTGGGGGTTTCGCTGATGTGGAAGCCTCCGGCGGGAAGGCCGAACCCTCCGGTACCACCGTGGACGAATCCGGCGGAACATGACGTCACGCTCCGCACGTACGCGTCACGCGCCATGATCAAGAACCGAAACGGGACCTTCACGAGCTTCGCGAACTTGAAGCCACTCTGTTTCTGGTTTTTCTTTGTATCTCTCATGATTCACTTATGAATGTGTGTGTGTGTGTGTGTGTGTATATATATAATATAAGAAATAAAAACACTACTTTGTGTCAGTTACTGTGTTTGAGGAATGTGTTTCTGGGATAAGAATCAGAGGAAGAAGATGCTGTCCAAAGGCTTTACGGATTTTATTTATGTTAAAAGGGATTTTTAATTTTTAAATGTATATAGTTGGATGTTTACGGTTTGGGGATATTTATATTATTATATAGGAATTCAATATCATACTCTTAATAAGTCAAAATATGAGGTTTAAGATTATATCCTATGGGCCGGCAAAAATTTACAAATACAAAGATGACAGATTATCATTAATTTCTAAATAAATAATAAAATACCAAATATGATATTGATGCCAAGCTGGTCACTAGTTATCCAATTATTTCCCCTTAACTGTGTTTCTAACTATCGCATCGTTAGCGACCATGTTATAATATTCGTAGATATCATTACACTGCGACAACTCATTGACACGTATTTACTATATATGTGTGTGCATATGCGTATGTAGAGATATACATGAATAAAAAAATATATATAAAGTTTCCGAGTATCCGCCATTTTATTATCTGATTTAAACAAAACAAAATCTGTATAACTGTGAATAGGATCAAATCCAATCCACCAGAAAATCTCCATAGGTCGAAAAGCAATAACGACATGTTCTAAATTAGGACCGTTTCATATCTATAAAAAATAAAATAAACGAATCATATGATATAATAACCAATTATGGACAGCAGCGACAGTTAAAAATAGAGAGTTATATTTACTTGTTTGAAACGCGCACCACAGAATCTGACACAACTTACCGTGGATGACGTGGCCGGACAATATGAGCCCATTAATACTGAAAGCCCAACCAAAAGATCTTCAACTGAAAAGCCCATTAAGGCTCAATATAAACTAATAGCATGTCGTATTTTTTTGGGCCGTATTTATTGCCAACTTTAGCTCAAGGTTCGGGAACTCTTGGAACCTCCAGAGGGCTTATCCAAATATCATTTATATGTGTATATATATATATATATTTAGGGGCGAGCGAAGTGATGGGAGGGTCACGTGATGGTGAAACTATTAAATCTGAATATATTAATATTAGTGGTAATAACACAGCAAATGAATACCATTTTGATTCCTTGACACCTCTTCAGCTCACAAAATATAACATTTTCCTTTCGGCAATTCCATAATAACATTTAAATGGGAGTCCGTCCATTTATTTAAGCTCTCCCATTTACGTTTATAATACCGACCCTAAGAAATATCGAAAATTAAAAACTGTGGGGAGGGGACACATGACACGTGGCGAGTTGTAAGTGGCTACAGATCAGTCAAAGGCAAAGACTGAGGACGAGCCAACGGGGACACGATCGAGGCGTACAGTCAAAGAAAGACACTGTCACGGTCAAATGGGTTGTACCCATTTACGTTTATAATACCGACCCTAAGAAATATCGAAAATTAAAAACTGAGGGGACACATGACACGTGGCGAGTTATAAGTGGCTACAGATCAGTCAAAGGCAAAGACTGAGGAGGAGCCAACGGGGACACGATCGAGGCGTACAGTCAAAGAAAGACACTGTCACGGTCAAATGGGCTTTTCCATGTCGTGGGCCCCACAGCCATATTCCAACCTCCTCCTTATCCCCAATTTCTCTGTTTCAATTCAATGAAACGATGGTAATGTGACAATATTATGTGGCTCCGATATTTTTGAGAACGATATTATATCTTCTTAATAACACAAGTTGTTACAAAGTTAAATGAAATCGACTGCTAATATTTGGTGTATCTGATATAATTTGTTTTCTTAATAAAAACAGAGTTTTTTTATAAAAAAAATCTCTAGACTCCAAAATAATTGTATATTAATTTTTTTGTATAAAGAATTAAGAAAAAGGGGAGCGTGGGATTAAGGGCATAGAAATTATCGTCGCACGTGCCCAATCTGTACGGGTTACTCTTTTCCCCGTGGCTGTTTGGAGTTTAATGAAACAGTAGTTCCTTTTTTCTTACCACGTGCGAGGTATTTCACTCCGTTTTGCCATCCACCCACTTGTTTATCTTCATCGGAACTCACACTTCACTTGAACCAATTTTATATGAGTATTGGACTGTAATAATGGAGCTTTGCACGTGTGGTGCGGGAGCCTCTGTACGGGTTACTCTTTTCCCCGTGGCTGTTTGAAGTTTAGTGAAACAGTAGTTCCTTTTTTCTTACCACGTGCGAGGTATTTCACTCCGTTTTGCCATCCACCCACTTGTGTATCTTCATCGGAACTCACACTTCACTTGAAAACCAATTTTATATGAGTATTGGACTGTAATAATGGAGCTTTGCACGTGTGGTGCGGGAGCCGAGGGGGCTCGATTACCGGCTATAGCCCGTGGTTCCCGGTCACCTTATGGATCATAATTTCTCATTTTTCAACCCCGAATCTTTCGAGAAATCTATAATTTATCCCCTTTTTATTGAAAAGGAAAGAGAAAATCTTTGGTCCAAAAGAAACCTTCTTTTACTTTAATAATTTCGGGGTGGGTTTTCTCACGGAACAGCCAACCACTGCCCAGAAGAGGGTAACGAAGAGTGAGCGAGTTTCATCTTCTTTTTTGGTACGGGTTCTTCTTAATTGTCACGAGTTCTTGATTTTCTCAGCTGGGTCTTCTTTAACTTTCTCGAATTTTCTTCCTTTTTTGTTCTGAGATTTCTGGTTTCCGGTCGATCTGTCAGTACCGGGCGCGAGATTTTTTCTTTCTGGTGTTCTGTAACTTGTGGGATAATGCAGATTTGGGGCGGTTGGGCTTTAATCATGTCTTTATGATGTTTTATTGTTTCGGGGTCGAATGATTCCTTTTTGACCGTTGAAAAGAGATCAGGAAAAAAAAAGCAGGGAAAAAGGAGCAGAAGAGAGTGTGGTGTTACGTTCTTTCTGAGATAAAGACATTTTCGGTTGTGATTTTTCCTTCTGGGATTTCGTAAATCAGAGAGCTTTGAATATGACTGAGCAAACCCTAATGAGTTTTCTTTCTTCGCTTTTAGTTCATTGTCCGCTCATTGATGCTATGTGTCGTAAAGGGTTTTTTCTCAATGCTGTAAACTAGAGTTGGGGATTTGGCATTTTGGGTTTCTTCTCTTTTATTGTTTAGAGGAAATCTCCGGCTGCGGGGTTGGCAAAATTTGTCGGAAAATGCCGATGTTTCAGCCGTCGAAGAGGGGTGGGGTTGTTGGATTTGACGGCGGTGGTGACGGGCATGTCTTAGATCTGGACACTGCCGTGAAGGACGGTGTTCTGGGCGGCGTTACCGGCAGTGTCGGCGATGGAAAGATTGTTGTCGATGCGAAATTGGATCTGAAGAAGATGATTGAGGAGCTGGATTTGCCCGACATACCCACTGTGTTCATTTGTCCGATCTCTCTCGAGCCGATGCAAGATCCAGTGACATTGTGTACAGGTCAAACCTACGAGAGGTCCAACATTCTCAAGTGGTTCAGCCTCGGCCACCTGACATGTCCAACGACAATGCAGGAGCTCTGGGATGATACGGTAACTCCAAACAAGACCCTTCACCATTTGATCTGTACATGGTTTTCTCAGAAGTATTTGCTGATGAAGAAGCGGTCTGAGGATGTCCAAGGAAGGGCAATCGAGATTCTGGGCACTCTGAGAAAGGCCAAGGGACAGGCTAGGGTTCAGGCATTAACCGAGTTGAGGCGAGTCGTTGTGGCTCATGCCACTGCTAGAAAGACAGTGGTCGAGGAAGGCGGCATTTCTGTGATTTCATCCCTTCTGGGTCCTTTCACCTCTCACGCAGTGGGGTCTGAGGCTGTGGCAATTCTCGTGAATCTTGATCTTGATTCGGATTCGAAATCCGGTCTAATGCAGCCGGCTAAGGTTTCGTTGATGGCTGATATGTTGAATGACGGTTTGATTGAAACCAAGATCAACTGCACGAAATTGATCGGTAGCTTGGTGGATGAGAAGGGTTTTAGAGCAGAGCTGGTTTCGAGTCACAGTTTGCTGGTTGGATTGATGAGGTTAGTGAAGGATAAGAGGCAGAGAAACGGAGTCAGCCCGGCACTTGGGTTGCTCAAATCGATATCGGGTCATAATCAAGTCCGGAACTTGATTGTTAGCATTGGAGCAGTTCCTCAACTGGTTGATCTTTTACCGTCCTTGGACCCCGAGTGTTTAGAGTTAGCCCTCTTTGTATTGGATGCTTTGTGTCTGAACCTGGAGGGAAGAGTTGCTCTAAAAGAATCTGCAAACGCGATACCGAACACAGTGAGGATACTGATGAGGGTTTCGGAGAATTGCACAAAGCACGCACTTTCAATTCTGTGGTCAGTCTGCAAACTGGCTCCAGAAGAATGTTCACCATTAGCTGTAGAGTTTGGTCTGGCGGCAAAACTCCTCATGATCCAGAGTGGGTGTGATCCCGCCTTGAAGCAGCGGTCTGCTGAGCTACTGAAGCTCTGTAGTCTTAATTATTCGGACACCATGTTTATTTCCAAGTGCAAGCTTACGAGGACAATCCAGTAGAGGGGACGGGCCGGAAAGCTTTCGACTTTGGCATCAATTGCTCAAACCCCCGTGAGGAAATCGATCGATACCGATATCGATGTAGTGGGGCCGGGCCCTGATGTATATAGGTGAAGATTTTCAAATTCTAGCTATCGGTTCGGTACAAGGGAAGGAAAGGAGGATCATAATGTGGACAGAGGTTGGTTTTATTGGCAAATGCTTTTGGAATAAACTCGGGAAAGCCAACTGTGTAAATCTGTTGCCTTGGGGAGAGAAAGGGAAAAAAGATATCGAAAATCATTTCATTGTTCTCTCATGGATCCTTTCTTGGTCGAGGATTTTGACATCGTTTTGGCTCTCTCATTTGCTGTAAGCCTCTTTGACATTCCAGATCTCTCATCCTCTAAAATGGTCAATAATCTAAAAAGTTTGTGGACATGCGGTTTCTGTGAGCTGTCTCATGATGTTATGTGCTGTGTTTCTTGAAGATTCAAGCGCTGTTGTTTCGTGGGTTCATATCTCATGGAACAGTGGGGCTGAATCTGAATCGGGCTTTGATTTTTCTTTTTTGGATGAAATTGGAAGATAAGCTAAAGGGGAGGTGGGGGCATAAAGTCCAACGCATTGGTCTCATCTCTTAACTGTTGCACTATGGAAACATTGAAAAGAACTCGAGATTTGACAAGTGAATGGTTTCCCACTGTCCGCTGATGTGAAAGCTTCAAGCTTTGCATCCACAATGATTAATGAGTAATTTTCTTGTCTGAACGGAAAAAAATCTGAACAAATTTACCGAACCTGAGGAAAAGGAGTTCTGAGTTGCAGCAGAAGTTCAATGGAAGTGATAACAAGAAGAAAGATGGGCCTGGGCTCATCATTGGGCTTTTTAAGGCCCAATATTTTAAAACAAACGACGTCGCAGAAAGGGGTGAAGGATGGAAACGGTGTCGTTTAATTGGCTTAGATTTATAACGTATTTAAGAAAGAAAATGTCTCCTTTTATCTTGATCGCAACTTATGAGAGATCCAGAAATGGCGTGGCTTGCGAGATCCATAGCGAACTCTCTCAAGCTCGATGACGATGAGGAAGATGAGAAACAACGGATTAAGATCGCCTCCGGTGAAGATTCCGGCGGGGATCAACCGCCATCGCCGTCACAGTCACAGCCTCCCCGCCGTGTGAAGGAGGACCTCTCTGAGCTCACCAAGACCCTGCGAAGCCAGTTCTGGGGCGTGGCTTCTTTTCTCGCGCCTCCTTCCGCTTCTTTTGATCGTCCTGAACAAAGTTAGACGCCGGACCATGTGGAGGGGAATCGGACTTGTTCGGATGACGAGGGAAGAGAAGAGGATATGATAGCTGGGATCAAGAACGATTTCGCGGAGATTGGCGGGAGATTCAAGACGGGGATATCGAAGATCTCCGGAAACATCGCGGTCTCAGAGTTCACAAAGATCGCTTCGAATTTCCTACAGTTGGGATCGGACGAGGCAAACTCGGAGGAGCATAGCGTTGGAGATGCCGTCGGTGTAACCGAGGAAGTGATCGCCTTCGCGAGGGATATAGCGATGCATCCTGAGAACTTGGTTGGATTTCCCCTTGCCTGACGAGGATGATAACTTTGACGGTAAGGTTCGCCGGAATACCTCTGGAACTCTGAGTCTGATCAGATCTTGCTGATTTTGTTAGTCCATGGTTTCTGGGTTTGCTCCTCTGAATAAAAATGGCGTAACTGATCTCTGGGTTGAATGTAGCCCACACGGTGAATCGATTTATCTACGGCTTAGACATTTTCTAATAAGCGTGAATGTTCCATTTTCAGATTTTGAAACGGCGGATGCTCAACAAGAACATGCTCTGGCTGTAGAAAGATTGGCACCGGCATTCTGTTCTGAGGATTGAACTTTGCCCAGCTTATATGAGTGAAGGCTGCTTCTGGAGAATATACTTTGTACTTCTCCATCCTAAACTAACTAAACACGATGCCTTGCTTCTCTCAACTCCTCAGGTAAGTTTGACCATTACTGTCTTCTCTGCATGTCATCGTCGTTGAGGAGATCTTCTATCCGTAGTATTTGAAAGAATGTACAAGTCCTTGACTCTATGGAATCTTATTTTGAGAGAGAGTATGAAAACTCGGACTGTTAATTAGTGTAATTGATAGCATGCAATTTGGGTTTTATGGCACCGGTAACTCTGCTTTTCATGGGACACTTAAGTAATGATCGCAAGAAGGAAGGAATTCTGGTGGGATTTTTCTAACTTATGTGTTAACTTGCATAAAGGTACTCGAAGCAAGAGCACTTCTATCCCACGAGTTGAAGACAAGAACCAGGACGACATCGCTGTCAGAGAATTCAGGATCGACTGTCACAGAAGCTCCGATGAATGTGGAACCACTTTCTGCGCCAGTTCCACTCAAAACCGTTACTGCAGAAGAGACAACAACCCATTATTCTCTGGAGCTGTCACCTGACTTGGAAACAGAGAAGCACCCAGTAGAGATCAAGGAGATACGAGTAGTGGACAAGCCTGTAATCGAGGAAAGACCGATCCACCATGATAAGCCACTGAACCCATCTGGGGTTGTAATAGATGTCCAAGTTGAGGACGAAACAGATGATTGACTCAAAGATGAAGAAGACATTTCTGGATCCATCACTAGCACCAACAGAAGCGCAATGGCGCTTGGCAAACGACGAAGATGTGCCCTTCAGTGATCTTGAAGAGGAAGACGAAGGAGATATGCCCGCATCGAATAAGAAAGCGGCGGCGGCAACTAGGTCTGCGACACGTGGCGCTACGACAGGACAGGTTAGTAAGAACAAAGAATCAAATGAATGGCTTGATGTCGTCGATGACATTGATGTGGTGTGGCCTAATGCTTTCACTTTCTCATTCAATTTATCCTTTCGCATTTTTTTCCGTTAAAATCTTAGCTGTGAATAGTCAGTCTTGTATAATGTTTTTTCTGATCGCGCATGGCTGTGTATATTTTTTTTTTTTATAAAAAAAGTCGTAATATGTTGATAACGACACCCTCCGAACATTTTGGATGCGTGGTTTGGTAAACGAGTCACGACTCACGAGTCACGACGCCAAAGATCGAATTTTGGAAATGTAAATGGTCAAACGTGTAAGTTATTTCGAGGGGCGGTTGTTCTCGGCGATAGGAGAGCGTGCCACGTGTAAGGATATGGACACGTGGCGAAATGCTTTTGAGTCGATAAGCGCGGCGGCTCGCCGTTTCCCCTCAACGTGAATTTTTCGTATAATAATTGTTTTATATACTTTTTTTTATTCTTATTCGATAATGTCTGGAATTTTAGTTTTCCTTCTCGCATTTCGAAATGATTTTAACCATACCCAGGAGTATTTCCCTATACACTAAATTCTCTTCTGTCACCAATGAGATATTGTATTGCTATATATATATATATATGTAGAAATTTCTGCAATTTGTCGCACGTGTATACACCTAACCTATATGTGGATTATATCATCATACGTTTGCATGCATACATATCTATAAGATAATATTATCTATTGGATTGGAAGCGTGGAAGCCGCTGAACTTTAAATGTCCGAAGCGACTTCTCAGCCAACTATCACGCAGAGTCGAAACTTCTGATTTCTGACAACACGAGATTGGGGGTGCAATAATGGATTTCTACTCTACGAATACATACACGTACAGATACGTATACACATACAAGTGTGTTACTATATCTAGATGTCTGGATCACGGCAGAGGGGATCCCCTGTTCGGTTAGAATCCTGCAACCGCATCGACGTCACCCAACGTTATCCAGTCTTTCGATTTCTTACAGGTTTCCTACTCGATACATCTGCTTCTCTTTCCATGTGTTTGGTCTTGTTATAGTCAGTCTTGGTTTCCTTTCAAGAAGATGGCGCGGAACAAAAACCCAGTAAAGATGTTTTCTTTCGCTGGAATCCGGGAAAGTTGAAGAAGAAAACGAGAGAAAATCGTTTCACAGATCTCAGCAAGGGAACGAAAAAAGGGGTATGATGATCTGGGGATTTCGGTTGGAAAGCTTTTGTCTTGAATAGCTTCCTTTCTGTAGTATTTACATGGATTTAGGATTGGGTAAGAAGGGTTTGGATTTTGCTCTGAGAAACAAGAAGTGGATCTTGCTGGCTGCAAGTGGTTACGGTGCTCTTAGGGTTTATCATTCTCCCTCAGTTTCCAGAAAACGGAAGAGGATTTCGAAGGTTTTAGGAGCTCTGCTAAATCTGGTAGAAGCAGCTTCTGATTCCGCTGAAGCGATTAGTGTCATCTCAAAAGATCTGACAGCTTTCTTAAGATCAGATTCCGACCAAATCCCCAACAGCCTGAAGCAGATCTCCAAAATCGCCAAATCAGATGAATTCAATTCATCCCTAATCAGATTCACACAGGCTATGACCCTTGGATTACTTCATGGGTATCGATTGGATTCCAAAAACGACGAACACGGGTCAGGTTTCACTGACCGGGTCATGGACAAGCTCTTCTCCAGAGCCGGAACGGGCTTCGCTTCCGCGGTCGTTGGCAGCTTCGCCAGGAACATGGTCGTGGCGCTTTGCTCCGACGAATTTTCCGGCAAATCTTCCGTTTCAGAGTCAAAATGGGTCAACGCGATTTGCTCAGACGAGAGCAGAAAACTGATAGGCGACTGCGTTCAGATGTTCGTGAGCACAGCGGTGGCGGTCTATCTCGACAAAACCATGCACGTGAACGTCTTTGACGATCTTTTCTCAGGAATGACAAACCCTAAACACGAACGCAGAGTCAAAGAAGCTTTGATTTCTGTATGCAATGGCGCAGTCGAGACGTTCGTGAGAGCGGCACGGCAAGCTCCCGGAGACTCCGCCTCGACCAGAAGCTTCGGTTTCCGAAAAGAAAAGACCGATCCCGAGTTCGATCTATCGCCGCCTGCTGTCGGACCGAGACTATCGCGACGTGGTTATAGCACATGGATCAACCGGCTTTCGGCTTCATTGTCCGTACCAAGTAACCGGAGATTCGTGATAGATATGGATCAACCGGCTTTCGGCTTCATTGTCCGTACCAAGTAACCGGAGATTCGTGATAGATTTAACCGGGAGGATCACATTCGAGACGATTAGATCGTTACTAGAAATTCTATTCGATAAATTCAACAACGGGATGGCGAGTTGCGTTGAGTCGGTGATAGAGACAGGGAGCGAAGCCACGAGGTATGCGAAGGTTAAATCCTCTGTTCTTTACAGTTTGTGTCTTTCTCTGTGTTTGCAGATCGTTGAAGCTCCATGGCTTCTGGCTCCTCCTAATTACTGAAAAAAAGAGAATGATAATTTGGTATGTATTGGTTCGATTTTTGGATTCGATTCGACGTTATCTGTTGGTTATATACATGTTGTGGAATTTTATTTTTAAAATTTGGTATCTAATTATAATTGTCGGAATGAAGAAATGGGTGAGTTTGGTTTTGGATAATGGCCGATCAGACGCACATCACATAGGGACATGAAACAGCAAGCTCACGACCTATAATCACTCAACCGATACATCAATGATGAAGTATATATCATGGTTTGATAATACATAACATATAAAGATTTTCAGAAATTCATTGTTACCACGCTCTTTGTTTTTTTTTGTCAAAAGGTTAATTTTACCACACTCTTTTAAGCAAGTATGTTTTTCCTCGGGGAGTCTCTCATCCTAGTGGTTAATGACAAAACTCTTCTACCAAAGGTCAGAACTTCATGCGTTACAAAAATATGATCACAAAGATTGAAGAAGCCACGAAGATGGGTTTATACATAATATGATTAAAAAAAATAATACACCAAAGTGAAATTAATTAGAGAAAACAAATAATAAATGTGGTTATTAAGGAATATGAATACTAATAATGAATGTCGTTCAAGTTAGCCATTAGACCCATTACGGTTTGTTTAATTTTTTTTATAGCGTTTTTACTCATTAAGTATAGGATGTAAATTTTGGAGTTAAATTAAATTTCTCTACTTTTTTCATCAGTACAGTACAAATTAAATTGGTAATTATTTTATATAATAATCTATAGATGTTTTTCTTATTTATATACCCAACCTCAAGATTTTAATATAATATTTTACTCTGTTATTTTTTTACTAAGATAAAATCATCAAAACTAAGGGAAAATAAAAATAATTTTTAAATATAAGTGTAATCAAATAAAAATCTTGATAATTTATCAAATTAAGGTAAAAATGAATTTTTTATATAATAAAGATGAGATTATTTTTTAACTATAATAATAAATTGGTATTTTTGTTATTATATCTTTGTTCATAAATAAATTTTCATTATTGTTTTTTGTTTTTATTTTTTATATTCATAAGTATATCATGTCTTTGTTTTTTTCCTACATTAGTAATTATGTTCCTAAATGGGTAAATGAATACTTCCACCGTTTTTGTTTTTATTAGTGGACTATTGATTATTTTTGCACCAATTTTTGTTGTAAGCTTTTTATAAATTTTTTATTGTAATATTGTGTCAATAGATGTAGAATATAAAATATTTATTTGATAAGGAAAAGTATATGTTTTATCGGTTTATAGTGTCATTTTAAATCATATGTATGTTCTAAGCTTTTTATAAAATTTCTATTATAAATTTTGTGTAAATATATATAGAATATAGAATATTTATTTGATAAGGAGAAAAAATATGTTTTATGAGTTTTTAGTGTAATGTGAAATCATATATATTAGTTTATATTATAATACTGATTGAGTGTTTTTATTATTTATTTTATTATAAATTGTAATCACAAATTATATATAAGTAATGGATTAATTATCTTAATGGAAATATTGTTTAAATAGATATAGAATTAGATAACGAAAATTGTGTTTAA